TTTGCAGCTATAAAACCTTTAATTTTTTCCTCCCAACCACAAAATGTAATCTATGTAAACATCAACTCTGCGCCAGATCCCATCTCTTTGTAAATGTATTTCCTCTAAACAACTTTCCAGCAGGAGCTGTTAATCACACCAAGCACTGGAGCAAGGCCCGGGGCCTCTGGATCCTTTTGGACCCTCATCCCACTATGCATATTCAGCGGTCCTTACGACAGCATGACTGAATGGCTGGGTGAACAGCGGAGACACCCCCCTCCCGTGGCGTTTGACAGTTAGCTTAGGCTATTTGACGTTAGTTTGCAAAATAATTACAAACGTTCAGACACCTATCCCCATGCATTACACACTAATCATAACAAACCTAAACAATAAGGATTCAGCTACCAATTTAACGCAAAGATCATTAAATGTCACCGAAATCCAAGATGAGCTACTGTTAGCATTTTGCGAACTGCTAGCATGCTAGGCTGCAGAGTGGCTAAGAGTTAAAGTGGCTACATTTCGAGGGGCTAAAGGCTACCACAGGCATTGTAAGTGCATGTCTAGCTACTATTAAGTTATGTTAGTGTATTTAATCGTATGCAATAAATATAATAAAAACTATCATATTTACCCTTGATATGACAGGCTGCTAATAAGAGTCCACAGGTCATCAGTCAACATTGTTTTGGTTGAAAGTGGCAGTTCACAACACGCTGACTGATTCTGTTACTTCCCCACTCGTCGTATCGTCGCTACATGACTACACCAAACAGCAGCACTCGTGAATCTGGGTGTGTTCTGTCTGCTTTTCAGTTTCCCGGGTCCGATTTTGCAGTGAGTAGTCATGCAAAAATGTCACACTGCCTGAGCTGCGCTGCTAGCCACTGGGAAAGTAGGTGCTAACCTCCAGGAAAAACATACAAAATGGAGATCAAGGCAAGGCAGCTCCAGCGCTGACCAGCTTTCAGGGCGCAGCTCCGCCACCTGCTGGTCGGGGACTGGAACTGCGAGAGAAAGATCGATTCAGGGTCAGAGCTACAAATGGAAATCGGAGATAATAACCCAAGCAAAAAACACCAAACACAGCGATAATGGACAGAAACAGAACAATAATGCCAAAACGAACCGATTAATTATAGCATATCTCCAAGTAGCACTCCACAAGCAGATAACAACAGCAAAATTAGAACTCAAAACACAAAACTAGATTTTTGTTGTTTGGCAATACCCAAAGACTGACACCCAATGAACAGCTCATAAATGCATCCATACCTCAAAACCTTTTTGCACAGTTGATTATGTTAAAATTAAAAATTTAAACATAATTTATTAGGATTGTAGCACATATAACTGCACAAAGTAGAGCATAAGTGTCAGCCTTAAATACTGGAATTACATCTGCAAGTTTATTGGGGTGTGTCTCTAACCGGCTTTGCATATCTGCTGACTGATACGTTTACCAGGTCTTCTTTGTGAAGCAGATTGCCAGTTAGAATTAGGCCAAGGCTTTGACTGGGCCATTCTCACACATGATTATGTCTTCGTCTGAGCCAGTGCAACTCTGCCTGCAAAGTGGTTGTGTACCCTCAGTCTCAGCTTTTTTGGGGGCCTCTGTCTTGTTTTCTACAAAGACTTATCAGTTTTTAGACTCATCTTTTCATTCACTCTGGAACCCCTGTACTGTGCTGAAGAAAAACAGATCAACAGCGTGATGCTGTCACCACCATGTTTCACCATGGGGGTAAAATGCTTGTGTGGTTGTTGGAGATGATGAGCAGTCTAAGTCTTCTATTATATAAGTCTAAAGTTTTGACTTGTAATACTTGGTTACTGTGGCCCTGCATGGCTTGTAACAGAGAGCAAACATGACTCTGTATGGTTTTAAAAAGTGTTCAATGAAAAGCAGCAAAACGTGATACTTTTTTATAAACCAAAACCTGTTTTAAGCTTCTCCAAGACTTTATGTCAGTCCTGCCCACTGTGTTCCTTTGTCTTCATGAATGTCTTTGTTCATTAATGTTCTCTAAACCTCTGAGGCCGTCTCAAAAACAGCTATATTCATACTGAGGTCGTATTGCAAGTAGATCGTCTTATCCTGTAAATGCAATCGGTTGGACGAGATCTAATTTTTAGGGCATCAGAGTAAGGAGGCTGAATATAAATGCACACTAACCTTTAAGATTTTTATTTGAATGCCAATTATAATTTCTCCTCTAGTTTGCAATTGTTCACAATTATGTTGGTAAGTCTAAAAATAATAATAAAAAAAATCAAAACAAAATACAACTTTGTAGTTGTAATGTGGTAAAAATGTGCAAAGTCAATACTTCTGCAAGTCACAAAATTTATCTTAAATACCCCGTGCACGTTAAAGTTGATTTAAGACAAGCTGCAAATCAGTTCAAATTAAAGAATTTTTTTGAAAGTATGAGTTTCCTTGTATTGTAATATTCTTCAAGTATTGAGTCATCTGTTTACATACTGACCACACTGCCCTCTAGGGGCATCTAGCAACACATAAAATTGAAAGAACAACAATAAGCAAATGTATGACTAACATAGCATTACATAATGCATAATTTAGCAGAAAATGTAATTAATTGTCCCCTTCAATCAGTTTAAACTTTGTCTTCCATCAGAAACCAAAGTCTGTCTGAAAACAGCAAGATTCACTGTGTTTCTCTAAACACGCCAGTTCACACCTTGGCCTCTTTTGTGTGAAAATATGAGTGGAAGAAAAAGTGAGTGGGAGAGGATGAAATAGGACAAGAGATGCTGTGTGTGAATACGAAGAAAATCTTTGCAGAGAGGAGGATCCTTTTTGGATTATTTGGTGCTTCTGAGGTAGTGCAGTAGCTCTCCACTCATCTGACAATATATTTCTCAATGGAGTACAGCTTAGAGTACTGACGTTGATCAGAAAGGATGCAGATTTTGCACATTGTAAACATGCAAAAGGACAAGCTTTTAAATGTTTCTTCAAAGCTGCACCTTAGACAACTTCATGAAAGGGCTTGCAAGCCCTAAGCTGCCGTTTTAATGTTCCAGCAAATACAGATTTCTTACTTCACGCTCAGCTGGGAGCCATATTGTCTTACATTATTCATGCATGAAATTCAACTCCCTCCAAAATACAGAAACCAACCTTCATCGCTTTGCGATGAGCAGAGAAATAAGCGACGACAGGAGGATGTTTCTAATAGGGGGATGAGTGAGATAAGTAAGTCACAGGATTTGTAGGACATCTGGGAGGAGAATCATTTAGAAGCCAAATCTAGGACATGAAATCCTCATCTGTCACGGCTGTCCTGCGTTTGAAACAAGCCGCAGATCTAGCGGAGGTACACTTCACATCACGTCTGCTGTAGCGTTACAGTCACTAAATAGTCAAAACATTACCGTACCAGAGAGACAATGTAAGAAGCAAAACATCACATCACTGGAGAAAAGAGATCAGAGAGCTCGCTGTTGCTCTAAATCCCTACTGTTTAAATCCCACTCAGTCCCCAGCGGCTGCTTAGCAACCCCTCTCCAGCACAATATACAGTGAATTAACAGGGTAAAGCGTGACCGCTGCCTCCTCTCAAACCACGAGTCAAGGGGGCTCTCCCACCACCATTGATGCCTTCTCTTAGCACAGCAACAATATGATTTTATTATAACTTCAAACAAACGCACACGTGAAAATCAGACAAGCTGCAAACAGTGAATTTGTTGAAGCATTAAGTTTTTTTTTCCCCCTTTTTTTTTTTTTTTACCCTGGTGGTTTAGAAAAATTCATAAAACAAAAAAAAAAAAAAGAAGTCCCCAGCATTCAGGTGATTGTTACAATTGAGTCATGCACTTAAATGTGTTCATCTTGCACCTGCACACATTTGTGACCCACATAAAAGTGTATGCAAATGATTGTCAATCTTTTACTTCAGCTACGCAGCGTTTCACTTTATCCAAAGTGGATTTTGCACCCAGAGGCACTTGGCTTCAGATTTGCACTGCTGACTCTGTGACATATTCGTTTAACAGTTGCTGTGCAATCAGTCCCACACCTCTGCCTGCTTTACTGGGTTTATTCCAGAGCACAGTATTTCAGTAATGAGGCTTATTAAGGAGTTTTTGCCTGTAAAGATACGCAGCATGGGTGAAAAAATGGGACTCACACAGTGCCTTGAAAAGTTTTACTATCCCTTTGAATTTTTGTCAACAAACGTCAGTGTTATTTTATAAGGATTTATTTTTATTAGGACCAATAAATAAACCAACTCAAAACAGTGCATACTTTGGAGGAGAAAGGAAAAATGCACATGATTTTCCAAACAAAATAAAACAAAAATATGAAAATCCCGGCATACCTATATTATCAGCCCCTTTTACAAAGGTGCTACTAAATAAAACTCAGTGTGGAGAAGTCACCCTCATCATAAATCCAGATGTTTTGTGAAGGACTGATGGAGAACAACAACCTCATGAAGACCAAGGAACGCAACATTTAGGTCAGAGATAAAGTTGTGGAGAAGTATAAAGCCAGGTTAGACTTTTAAAAATACCAAAAGTCACAGAACACTGCTCTGTTCCTAATCTAAAAATGGAAAGATTGGAGGAAAGAGGTCAGAGGTGGCTCTGGAGGAGCTGCAGATATCCACAGCTCAGGTTGGACAATGTGTTGACCTGTATAATTTTGCTTTCACTTTATGCAAAAAAAAACCCTTCTCCCCCCCCCCCAAAAAAAAAACGTTGAAGTCTGTCGCTATAATGTGACAAAAATGTATCAATATATTTTCTTCACTACAGTGATCAGAGGAGCATCATGAAGCAGAGATATTCCCCAATCTGTGCGCCGTAATGAATCAAAAAAATCTACTTATCCGTAACGACGGGGTCAGTTTTCAGTGGCACCTATGGTCAAAGGTTCCATCACAAGAGCGCACCTGTCAGATTTATTTTTCATCTTAGCCCATTCATAACTGCTGCATTGCTCGCAGAAGAGGGTAAAGCTGTTCCGTGGATCTGCAGCTTGTACTTGTCACAGCGGATGAGTTCTGGAGTCACAGACGGTGACACCTAACCTCTCTCGGGATAAGCGCGTATGAATGCGCCGCGAAGAACCAAACGCTTGGATTAAAATCCGCGCCGCCGGGATGCTGGAGCCGCGTAATTCCAACCCCGAATCCCCAATCGCCAGCTGCGCCGCCCGTGGACACAGTAGAACCGCACAGATGCACCCCCCCTCCCCTCCCATCTATCAGCCCGTTTTCGTGTTGATGGACTGCAAAGTGACATTTTCCTTTAAGATGATGTAAGACTGTGCTTCACGGGTGGATTTGTTTCCTCTCCTCCGTGTCACAGCTCGGAACAACGTTATCTTAAATCTTCAGCCGGTTTGGCTGCTTCCGCACTCAGCAGTTTGGAGAGACTGGTGCGCAAAGGAGTCCCGCTTCCTGCCTCCTCCTCCTCCTCATCATCATCATCATCCTCCCAATGAGCGCGTTTCAGCATCCCAGCAGTCAGGAGGAGAGCGACAGGATGCTCTCACAATTTCTCTTCCATTTCATCCTGGATTTAAGAAGGTTGAGTTAAGATCCAGGTTTACTGAAACTTTTTAAAATTGTATTTTTGTTGTTGTTGTTGTTGAAAGTTCGCTTTTATTCACTTCCACGACCAAATCGCAGTGGCTGCCTGTAACATGATACTGGTTATGATAATCGATGCTGGACTTTTACGCACGCACTTGAAGGATGCACCGTAGACGTACAGTTGGGATTGTTCTGTCATAAAATAAAAAGCGCTGGATGCCAGCAGGACTGCGTCTGGAATCGGGAACTCCGCTTTGGTGTCTGAGCGCCTCATCTCCATGCAGCTGCACCCCACACCCTGAACTTCTGGGACGTTTCGTGCGAGAGAGAGATGGCACTGATCGAAAACTGCAAAACGCAGCCCGCCAAAGACCAGGGCTCGGTGCAAAACCCTCCGTCGGACGTGGTTGAGCTGAACGTGGGTGGGCAGGTTTATTATACCCGTCACGCCACCTTGACGAGCTTCCCGAATTCCTTACTTGGGAAGCTGTTTTCTAACAAGAAGGGGTCTTCAAATGACTTGTCACGGGATTTCAGAGGGCGGTATTTTATCGACAGAGATGGATTTTTGTTCCGGTACGTGTTGGATTACCTCAGAGACAAGCAGGTTGTCCTCCCTGACCACTTTCCAGAGAGAGGGAGGCTGAAGAGAGAGGCCGAGTACTTCCAGCTGCCGGAACTGACCAAACTTCTGTCAGGCGACGAGCCGAAGCTGTTTCAGGATGACAGTGACTGGGATGAGGAGTCGCAGGGCAGCGATCACAGGCTGTACCCGTCTTACTCCCTGGACAGGAGGTATGGTTACATTACTGTCGCCTTCAGAGGCAGAGAGTACCACGCTGACCCCAAGGCCAAAAAGTTACCCAGGATCTTCATCAGCAGCCGGATTGGACTGGCCAAGGAGGTGTTTGGAGACGCCCTGAATGAGAACAGGGATCTGGACAGACCCCCGGACCGATACACCTGCAGGTTTTACCTCAAGTTCAAGCACCTGGAGAGGGCTTTTGACATGCTGTCAGAAAGTGGCTTTCACATTGTGGCCTGCAACACCTCGCTGACTGCGTCCTCCACGGGTCATTACGCGGACGACAGGGTCTGGTCCAACTATACACAGTACATCTTTTACCGTGAGTGAACATCTGATTCTCCGTTCTGTTTAAGCGGTGTGAGGTGGCCAGAAGGTTCTGTAAGAGGTGGCCAGATGGGGGCTATACAAGTGCATTATAATTAATTAGAATGCTGTCAAAAAGGCTAATTTATTTCAGTCCATCCATCCAGCCGCTGTCATACCTCCTTGCGAGGTTGCAGGGGGTGGCTGGTGCCTGACTCCCAGCGGGGCACACCCCGGACTGGTCTTCATTAAAAATAATAATAATAAATAAATAAAACAAATAAAACAAATAATAATAATAATAATAATAATAATAATAATAATAATAATAATAATAAATGAAACTCACATATTATTAACATTACACAATGTGTGTAAAGCACTTATTTATTCCCATTTAACTGATAAATTACATTTCACTTGGAAATTTTATATTACATAAGACTACTACTGACAAATATGTACTTGTGCAATGCACTACTTGGTTGGGGCTCCTTTTGCATCATGGCAAGAAGGTGATCAGTCCTTGGTTCTGCTGAGGTGTTATAGAGAGACCTTCAGCCGCTATGCATTGTTTCTAGTGTCTCATCTTCTTCCTGGCAATACACCAAAAGATACTCTGTAGGCCATTAGTCAGCGCAGCCGTCGACCAGAAAAAAATGCTCTTCTGCTTGGCTTTATGGAGATGCGGATTTCATTTTCCATCGAAATGTCTCGCCTGCCCACACTGCTTGAAGTACTGTTTCCTGGTTTATTATCTCCTGATGGACGACTGTGTTCACTTTAGATTTGTTTAAAAAAAAAAAAAAAAAAAAAAAAAAAAAGGGGGGGGGGACAACAAGGGAATTTAAAAAACCCCCCAACAGAACGGGGG